TTTGTCTGCAATGATTAGACATGTTTTTTATTATTGTCATTAGTGATTATCTCAATTTCAGCTAAAAGAATTGACAAAATCCTACACACTGTGCCTTTAAAAGACCCAATAACAACAATGGTGTTGATAAAAGAGGGAGTGAAAAGAGGTGATTTATTCATAATTGTTTAATTTCATTGTTTAAATGCAATTACTGGGACCACAGTCAGTGTTTTTTATTACTACTGTAAAGAGAAAACATTACTTGTATTCATCTGGTTGATGTAGATTATCTGTTCAGCTTATTCGGACTGAATTTAATTAAAATGAATGAGTATAAATGCTACTGAAAGATTGATTATTATATATTTTTTTTAAAGCTGACAGGTATAAACAGATTATGACAGACAGTGAAAAAGTGTAGTGTCATCTGCTCATTTTATGGTTATGGCCTTTTTGACAGAAATTTTATGAAATTCCTGACATATTTGACCCCAAGTTGAACAGGAAGTGCTACTGCTCCTGATGATTACATAACAGACACGTGGACAAGATGGCCGAGCAAGACTAGAAAAAATATATAGTTGTGTGATTCCCATCTGTACTATCTGATAGCTCATCAGTCCTGACCAACTTGAACTATATTTTCCCAAACTGACACTGGAAAAAAAAAAGGTATCTACAACAGGTAAGATATTATTTGTTTTCCACTGAACGTCAAGGTTCAAAATGGCTAATATAATTTTTATAATCCCCATGAATACTCAGAGATATTTGAGTTTGTCTTACCTGGGAACCAGATCCTTTCCCAGCACCACAGACAGTATAAAGTCCTTTGAGTAATCCGCTAAAGCTTTACTGTATATAAAAAAAATAAATAGAAAAAAGCGTGTAACGAAATGACTCAAACTTAATAAATGTTTTTTGTAAAACAGAATTCAAGTGTCAGGCCTTTCCTTGAAAGTAGGTAAAGGAAATGAAAGAATATGAGGGTAGATAGAGAAAAAAAATAAAAGTGATTTATAAGAACCAGAAACTCATAACAAGCACAAAAAAAAAAATCACCCGGTAAGTTTCTCCCAAATATAAAAATAACCTCATAAACATTTCAATAATAAACACAAAACAAAACATAATTCACTCATGCAAAGTAAGTTTATGCTTAAAAAAAATCCAGAGCAGCTCAGACCACCCTGCCTCACCTCAGGAGGCCCCCTGGTGGAGAGAAGCAGTAGCACTGCAGGGTGGGGAAGGAGCTGCGCAGCAGGATGGCCAGCAGTGCAGCTGTGCCCGCACCCAGACTGTGACCAGYGATGACCAGCTTATAATCCTATAAACACAAGGAGGCACAAGTCAGACCCAGTCTACTGCCCCCCCAAGCAGACCTCAACCCTGGTCCTAGAGGACCACCATCCTGCATGTTTTAGTTGTTTTCCTGCACCTCAGCAGGTCTTTAAGTTCCACACAAGCTTGTTAATCCACCATTCATCCAAACCAGGTGAGCCAAAGCGGAGAAACATCTAAAATTTGCAGGATAATGGTGATTGTGGACCACTGGCTTAAACTAAACACAATCATCCCTGCTGCAGCTACTGCTGCAACTCCAGGATTTCACCTGCAAAAATGTTGACCTGGTGACTTTGGGCTGCGCGGCAGAAATGSTATGAAGTTGGCCTACGGTAGAAATTTACCCTCTACCGTCATATTGTCATTACATCATCGCACCTGTGTCAGCATGGCTGCGAGTGCAGAGACAACTGAGCAGCAGTTTGAAATATAATGAAGAAATTCTAGCATTTTAAAACACATATAGAGAATAAATCCTCAAAATTTCCCCTTCCCGCTGCAGAAAAGTTACGTCGTGTCATGGGATCATTTCCTCCCTCCCTCCCGCTGCACGTCGCGCAGAGCAAAGCTTTAACTACCATATTTTTTTACAGCCAAGTAGTCAGGGAAAAAAACTTGTTTTTTATGTATTGTTACCCACAGAGATGATAAAAAGATGTGCACGTTCGTTCAGTCATAAATCCATCTTGCTAATTAATGTCGGCKTGTGCTCTGAGAGCGCAGAGCAGCAGTTCAACAGGCTCACAGTATGGCAGGCCGATGTTGCATTTATTTGGCTTCACCACTTTTACATTCCAGTTATCTGAAATTGTTTTATGACTAGATTAGACATTTTAGTTATTTAGGATAAAATAATACAATGTTTTCTTTCATTATTTATGTTTTGTTTTATTTACTTATGTTTTAAAGTTGGAGATCTTTCCAGCTTGAGCTCGTTTCTTTGTTTGTTGAAGTTGATTTTTGAGAGTAAGGGGCACATATGATAGTTTTTCTTCACTCTGCACCTTTTTAACTCAGCGTAGAATTTACTTTTTTTAATGGTTTACATATATTTTGTTTTTATAAATGAAAGAAACAAACACATAAATAGACATCTCAATATATTTTGACAATTCAAAATACCTATTTAAGATATCTTTAATTATATTCTGACTAGTATGAATAACATCAGATTTATCATTAAGTTGTATGGAGACTCCAGTTCAAGATATCTTAAATGTATCTTTAGAAATGAGATTCACTATATCAGATTCAATTAATGCAAATTTCGGACTTTTTCATGTTCTGTAAATTGTAATAAAAATAATTGTAATATAAATTGTGTTTAAAACAAAGCTGCTGCTGTTGATCATTCTGTTTTCATAAGCCCCGCCCCCAAGGCCAGTCCTCTAGAGAARCACTGGAATGGTCTAAAAAGGTTTTTGAAGATGTTTTTGATAAAACAATTAACTGACTGTTAGTGACTCAGTCTGCAATGTTTGCATCTGTTAAATCAGATGTCATTATATTATGTACCTCTGTATAACCATGTTAATAATTTTGTAGTACAAATACAGTACACGTTTTTCTTATGTTTTATCAAATTTTGAACATTTTTGTTTTGGGCAGGTAACTTTTCATGTCAGGCAGGAGAGGGTAAAGAAAAAAAAAATCTTGTTGAACCCTGTGGGTTTGATTAAGATTACAGTTTTCTGCAAAAACAAAATGCTCTAAAAAATTACATTATCTTTACTTTTTATTTATACCACAATATATACCGTTACCATGAAGGGATTCAATTTATACCGTGATACGAATATGAGGTTATACCACCCAGCCCTATGGTGACTCAAGCCAAAGCAATCAACACTAAACTAGTGAGGAGGTTTTTTCTGTTAAGCAGAAATTATTACAAAACACCAGGTGCTAAGTGACAGCCAACTTTTCTTTGTTTTTTTTTTTTACCTGGGTGAAATGTGTGACTGACATGGCAACACATTTGCAGGTGGAATTTTTGCTGACAAATTTACAGTTTAAAAAAAAGGTCACATACACATTTACAAATGATAAAAATCCAGTGTTACAAATTCAACGTCTAAAAAAMGTCTGATTCTAATGAGACTACATTTCTTACCGGGGCGTCAGAGAAGGCCTGGTTCAGGATGCCGTCATTAATCAGCTTCTTGTAGATGTAGCCCGCCGCCTGACATATGCCCTGCAGGAGACACGCTCATTGTTAGTAAACACGCACGCTCACGTGTGGCGGACACGCAGCGGGCGAGTCTCACCTTGTGAGCGTAGCAGGCTCCGGTAACGTCCTCGATGGGCAGGTTTTCACACTCAGCAGACAGATCCGTCAGGACGTCCTGCGGGAGACGCATGGAGTCAGACAGAACGAAATGTAAAAGTCGTCACCCTCACGTCAAACTGTGGCAGGCGAAAGGTTTACTGACGTGAACTAAAACAGCTTTTTAAGCGTAGAATCAGACACGTTTCTCTCGGGCAGAAAGTTTAAAAGATCAGCATCTTTTAAACCTGACATCTCACACAGTACTGTTTCCTCTTTGATTTGAACTTTTCTCATGAAGTCACATGACGTCAGTCGAGGACATCTGCAGCTACATTTATCTGTTCTTTCACAAGAACCGCCATCAGTCATCCAGAAAAACAAGGAAGTGATTCTGAGCGTTGTGAGGAAACAAAAAAAGAACTAAGAGCTATAAATGTACAGCAGTTTTTACAAAAGGTAGCGAAAATAAAAACTTAGTCACACAAACACCATTTTATAAATCCCCCCACCGTTATCAGTTTCTGATGGTGTGCTGCAGCCTGGAAGCATTTCTGTCAGGAATGAACAGCAAGTCTGCTAAACTAACGGTGTGATGAAAACAATATTAAGATTTAATTATTGACCGTGTCATTAACCCGCTGTGATCAACAATGCAAGTGTCTGTTGTGAGAACTCACTGCTAAAGTGAATCTCTGCCACAATAATACAACTCCAGTCTAATATTTCACAGCCGTCCATTTATACCAGGGCTACTCAACTGGTGGTCCGCAGGCCACATCCGGACTGCCGGTGACTGTCTACCAGTAAATATTTATTTATTTATTTATTTTATTTATGGTTCAGTGCAACAAAATAAACCAATTTAAAAAGATAAAATATGATGCAGTGTTTTCCCTACCATTATCGGTCCATGTCTGGCCCCTCTGCTGTTGGTTTTGAGTACCTGTGACCCCCCCTGAGCAGTTTAATTGAATAGATTTATACTTTTACACAAGCATCACTTTCACATTTCATGTTTTTTGGCAGAAATATGAAATTGCTGCTGTTTAGAAGACAGTCGCCTCAGCTGCAGTCAAACTAGCCATCAGCTCATCAATCCTATCAAACAAACTATTTCTTTAAACTGATGAACTATTTCTTTAAACTGATGAACTATTTCTTTAAACTGATGAACTATTTCTTTAAACTGATGCCATTCAAGGAACTTCTGTGTCAACAAAGTTAAAGATCCTGGTAACACTTCCACAGACATGGCGGCACATTGGTGAAGGGGTTACAGCTGCCGTCTCTTTCTGAGAAGTTTGCCTCCCAGCTTGAGGCCTTTCTGGGTGGAATTTGCATTTTTTTTCTCTCCATGCACTGGTGGGTTTTCTCCAGTTTCCTCCCACGGACAAAAAAAAACATGCATTTTAGCTTAGTTGGTAACTCTAAATTGTTTCTAGGTGCCTGAGAGCGCAAATGATTGTTTGTCTCTATGTGACCTGTCCAGGTTGTACCCTGCCCCTCACAGTGACAGCTGAATTAGGGCATCATCTTCCCTGTGATTCAGAAAAGAACAGCAGGTAAAGGGATGGATGGATGGATGGATGGATGGATGGATGGATGGATGGATGGATGGATGGATTTCCATGAAACCCAATTTCCATTGGCTGAAGTATTTATTTTGTATCCAAACATTATAAGAAACTGCTAAATACAGCAATAATCTTTTTGTAAATGTGTTGCAGGTCTATAAAACCTGAGTGGATTTGTTTAGTAATGAATTAAATCAGTGGTTCCCAATCCTGGTCCTGAAGTACCCCTATCCAGCATGTTTTACTTGTTTCCCTGCTMTTCAGCAGGTCTTCAGAGGATTGTTAATCACTCACTCATTCAAACCAGGTGTGTCAAAYCAGGGAAACATCTAAACATGCAGGAAAGCAGTCCTTGAGGAACAGGGTTGAGAATCACTGCTTTAACACACGTTATCTGATTTATTATTTACAAATAAATGGCAAAGAACCAATGGCTTTGAGAAGCAATGCTAAAAAACGTAAAACTAAGTCAACATATTTTGAAAATGTCTCATCAAGCTCAGAGAAGCTCTTGAGGTGTTGGTCAACATTTAARGTGTGAKTTTTAGATGTTTCCCTGATTTGAAACACCTGGTTTGGATGAATGAGTGATTAACAATCTTCTGAAGACCTGCTGAAGAGCAGGGAAACAAGTAAAACATGCTGGATAGGGGTACTTCAGGACCAGGGGTCGGATTTATAAAACTGGCGTACGCACAATTTGAGCCCAGAAACTTGCGTACGCCACTTTTTACGCCAAGGTTGTGATTTATAAAATCCAAACTTGACGTGAAAATGTGCGGTCCCAGATAGCAATGGACTCAGGGGCGGATCCGCCC